TGAGTGTAGATGAAAGGAAGTGGGGAACGTGGCAGTTGAGGTCAGCAGGAGGTGGTCCACGTCATGGCCTACCCTATGGCTGGCGCCATGGTGAACGCCATGAGTGAAAATTTGACCTAATTTCCTGTTTTTCAGCCTGTTTTCCTTCATTTCTTCAGGGGAGCTCTGGATAATTGAAATACCTGAAAAGGAAATAAAAGATAGGCAGGATACAAGAAAACAATAATAAAAAACCTAAATAACATGTGAAATCAAAGTAAAAAACAAGTGTACAGTAAGTGTTATCAGCTTCAAAACACCTTTTTGTTGCCTCGATGTCCCCGTGAAGGGTGGCAATCAAACCCTCAATAGTGTAGTACTTCATCTTGAGGTGCATGTTGGAGGGTATCACAATTAGTTCAGTGAGAGTGGGTCTTCTGAAGATGCATTGGTAGAGAGACAGGTAATCCCCTACCATAAATTAGGTTTTGATGGCTCTAGCAGTCACCCCTCTCCCGAAGGTGACGATTAGCTCAACATATCCCCAGGGTTTCGTATTGTCCCCATTGAAGCCCTGGAGATTCGATCTTACGTATGAGGTCAAATGGCTTTCATTCAGTTGTAGGGTAGAGAACAAATGGGTGTACATAATGTCCACTGAATTGGTGCATTCAGATAGAATACGTTCCCTCGAAGTAGTCATAGGGGTGTAGTCGTGGAACCGACCAGAAGGCACCTTGTAGTCCTTCGAGTCCTAAGATCTATCTTCCCATTTCTTCTCTCCCCAACGGGATGTCGAGGGACCATCGTTTCTTGAGGACTTGGCACTCTCTTTGTGCCTCGACTCCCCGGTGTTATTGGCAACTTCCTTCTCCTCGTATTGTATGTACGCGTGAGTCTTGAGGAGGAGGGAGTCGAGCATTGTTGGTGATTCGATGCCTACTACTTTAGCAAAGTCGATGAGGGGGTAGAGCATGCACTTAAGGAGGTATTTATTCATGTTGTCGGTCGCGGAGACATGTACTGCTTCCTTGTTGAAGCGCTCGATGTATGCCCGCAGAGATTCATCTCTGCCTTGGATGATCGCTTCGAGCGAAGCCTATAACTTTGAATGTCGATGGGAGGCGGTGAAGTGCCTTAAGAACATCCTCCTAAGTTGCTTCCACGAGGTAATAAATTTGTATGGGAGACTCTTGTACCAAGACATTGCTCCTTTCCTGAGAGTGGTTGGGAATAATCCATATTTGATGGCTCCTCTGACCCCTCGATAGTCGAGAAGGGCGTCCATGTTCTCTATATGATCATTGGGGTCTATCGTCCCATCGTAAGTTCCCAGTGGGGGTGGTTTTTCCAGACCGATCGGGAGCTGGGCCTATGTAATCTCTCTTGATAGTGGCCCGCAGGGTTCGTCATCGTCACTTTCTACGGGAGACAGAGAAGGGGAGCGATAATTCCTTCCCTGTCGGGTGTTATGGCCTTGTCGAGGGGAATGACTCCTCCTTTGTTGTCTTGGCTTGGGCGAGGGTGATCGACCGTGATCGGATTGGCGGTCGCCTTTCTTCTTCTTGGATGAAGGAAAGTCTCAACCTTTTGTGGGAGGTGTACAGTTGCGTTTCTTGAAGAAAGAAATGTCGTGCTTCTCCTTTCTTGGTGGAAGGCCACGCCTAGGTGGTGATATGCTAGGGGAATCTTGTCGTTGGGCTCTCCTAGGAGGAGACCTTGACTGCTTCTTCTCCCATGACCTTATCTTTTTATTCTATTGTAGGATAAGGGCGTTGGTCTGGTTGATGGCAGCGAGCAATGTTGTGATGGCTGGATCGGTGTTGTGAGGTAGGGGAACTGGCTGCAGGATCTCTGGCAGTTCCTCGATGGGGATCTTGGGATGTTTCTCATCCGATAATTGCTGGTCGTCATGCTGAGCGTCAACAGAATCTATGGACGCATTCCAACTGTCACGGAAGCCGAGGTTATCCTCGAGGTGGGGATGTTCTTGACCTCTGTCGATATTGTGCGCTAGGGAAAGTGAAGCCTTTCTAGATGGGTGAAGATCATCACGGTCAACCATGATTGTTGAATGAATAAAATCTTTGGTTTTTAGACTTCGAAGAATAGAAAACGGGGAAGATAGTTCCCACAGACGGCGCCACCGATCTTACCGGTTAACCAGAACCTACAAGGTGCCGAATAATGATCTTCTGTCGGGTTGTAATATCAAGGAGGAAAAAATGGGGTTGTACCTTCAAGGCACTCCGACGATCAAGTAAGTGTGGGAGAAAAGAGATACAAGCAAAATATTAGAGTTTTAGTGGTGAATAGGGAATATTCGATACCTAACCCTCACATGAGTGAGGGTTTATATAGTGCCCCTGGCGCTTGACCATTGGTCCCTATTTTTTGGCCTAGATATGTGGGTCTAAGAGGGCAAATGATCGATGATGCCCAATGGAGGGTGTGAGAGATCTGGGCAGTGTCGTGCGTGCTCCACCAAAGGAGGACCCTAGACTAGGCCCACATAGGCTATCAGGCAAGTCCAGACATTATAGATGCCATAAATCAATGATTTAGTGTCACAAAGTTGCCAACAAAACAATAGGATATGGGGTTCAATGAAACACAAGAAATGGGGATTTGAATTGGGTTTTAAGATTTAATGTTTTTTTTAACACGCAGACACCAACTGGATAATAACATAAAGGATAAAGAACACAAGATTTTATCATGTTTCACCGTTAACTAGGCTACCTCCAGTCCAGCCTACCAAGGTGATTTTGCCTTATCAACAATGACTTAATCCACTAATCAAATAACCTTTGATTACAAGCTCAATGACTACCCATCAAATACTTCTTGAGGATCTTGACTAAACTTTTAGTCCCCCAAAGGAGTTAACCAACCTGGTTCACTTAAGTGTTTCTAAAATGCTTCTTTAAAGTTGATACACACAGTTGCAATACAATGAGAGTTACAAAGAATGGAAGTTATGAAGTTTCAATAAAATAACAAATTTCTTCTTCATGTTGATGCTAAACTTTTTTCTAAGTGTTTCTCTCGACTTTTTGTATATGATTTCCGCATTTCACGCTCGTTGTTCTTGTGTTGTTCTTCACGTTTTTCCATGACTTCAAGTGCTCCTTTAAATAGATAGAAATATATTCGTTGGAGGATGAAGTTGGAATTTAAAAATCAATATCTTGCAGAAGACGTTGAGAGTATAATTGTAGAGTGGCCGTAATAGCATAATGGAAGATGAGGAAGAGACGTATTTAAAAAAGTTGTTATTGTCACACATTCCTTTGTCCCATCTCACGGAGTAGTGGAAATGATGATAATTTGTACTATTTGAATATTTTCACATTATCTCTCCCCATAGAAATCTTCTCGAGTCAGAGGCTTATGATAGATTTTGTTGAAGCTTAATGAGAGTCCAAAGTTACTAGCTTTTCTTTACACCTAACTGTTGAGTAAAGGCTTCTGATAGAGTTTGATGAGCTTGATCAGAGTAAGTCTTCAGTGCTTTATGAAATGTTGAGTCTTCAGATCCTTGAGATATTATAGTCAATCTAGATAAAGTCTTTCATTAGTTGACTCGATACTTTAGAGAAGCAGATTGTTCATTGTTAACATT